GCCGCGTGGCGCGGAGGGGGGGGAGGGGGGGTCAGACAGAACAGGAGAAAAGTCTGCGGCGCGGCGCAGGGGGTGACGCCAAACAGACCTTTGGAGGGGGGGAGGGTCAGCCTCCGAGCTGGGGCGGCTGCGGGCGTCCTTGAACCCCAGAAAGCCGGCCGGCCGCCGCCCTCGTCGCGGCCGCGCGAGCGCCGAGCGCGACGTGGCTGCACTCGCGTGCGCAAATCGTGCCATTGTGCTACCCCTAATCCGTCGCCCCACCCCCGCTCTCCACAACCACCACCGCCACCGTCGCCACCGCCACCACCCCCCAGCTTTTTCTCCACGCTCTTCTTGCGCGCCGCCAAGATGCACCGGGCGCGCGGCGGCGGCAGCATGAGCCTGCTGCCGCTGGTGCCCGGCCGCCCGGCGACAGGTGCGCGCAGTCGAAAACCTACATTGGGTGCGGAAAGGGCGACGGTGGGCGGGCGACGCCCGCACGCCTTGAAGCGGCCGCGCGTGTTACACTGGGGTGCCTTTGCCTGGCCGAACGCAGGATGACGCGCCCACGCCCAAAAAATTACGCACACAAAGCGCGCCCTCACAACTTTTGATGCACCCGCGCCCCGTTTGTCGACTCTTTTTAAACCAGGCACATCCCGAAAGGCCATCGATATGAGCAAATACCAGACGCTGTCAGAGGACCAGAAACAGCGCATCGCGCTCGTGCTGGCGCAGGTGCGCGCGCGCGGCCGGACGTGCGGGTGCAACTCTCGCTGTGTGTGTGTGTGTGTGTGTGTGTGTGTGTGTGTGTGTGTGCATGCGTGTATGTGCGCATGCATATGCTTGCATACTGGTAAGGAGTGACATGGGCCTCTGCCACGCTCTAGTGCGCCCGCCGCCGCACCCCTGCGGCCGTCGCAACCCCTTTCCTGCACACCACAACCCGCTTCCCTTTCCGCAACGCGGCCCGCCCCGTCAGCGTGAGAAGCTGGAGGCAGCTGTGGCGGCCCCGGGGGAGCTGGGCACCGAGGCGGTGGAGGAGTTTATGTCCATCAGCGACGGCCAGGTGCGCTGGAAACTGATAACTGATGTATAAACAGTATGAATATATATGTATATATATATACATATGTATGTATAAATATTGAAACTGAATGAAAGCAGGGCTCCCTCAGGCTGCATAGGTTTGGGCACGCGCCGCGCGGGCGGCGCGGGTGTGGTCCCACAGGGGCGGCGCGGCGGCGGGCGCCCGGCGTCGCACATCCAGCCGCGTGACCGCGCGGCGCCAATTTTGGGCCCACCCAACCCATTTTGGGTGCAACCCGGGGGGTTTGCGGGAAGGACGGGCGCAATTGAGGAGGACGGCAACCTGAACCCTCCCGGCCTCTCCTGTGCGCCCCCATCAGCCCGCCCGCTCTCACCAACCCGACCCCTTCAGTTGGTACTCGAGGCGCCCCCGCCATCGCTGTCGCCGTCGTCGCCGCCTGCGGACGGCCCCGGCCCCTACCGCGCGAACCCGAAGCTGTCCATCACGCGCATCGGCTCGAGGTGCGGCGCCGCAGGGCCGCGCGCGGCGGCGGGGCCCGGCTGCACTTTGGCGGCCGCGGCCCTCACACACCCCCCCCCCCCGTCACCCTGTGCGCGGGCCGTTTTGTTT